AGCTACTACTGACTGGGAAAGACAAAGAATATTTAATTTTTCATTTTATTCTGTTTTTGTTTCATTTATATTTACTTTTACCATGTATCCATTTCATATTTTWAAATTTGTTCTAACTAGTTATATATAACAGAATATATTTTAACATATTGTACACAAATGGAGTATAACTTCTCATTCCTCTGCCATGTAGGTGCTGAGTCATCCCAATATTGTGATCATACACGTATACAGGGTAATAATGTCTGTCTCATTCTATCCTCCTTCCCATTCCCACTGCTCCACCCCTCCCCTCATGCCCCTCTGCACAATCTGAAGTTCCTTCATTCTTCCCTACCCTTCGCCAATTTCATATTTTTAAAAGTTGATAATTTAAATAGCAATTTTTWAAAAAATCCTTCCTCAGAATATTTATTTGTTCCAAACAAAGTTTGCCTCTGGTTTAAGGATAAGAGATGAGTCTAAGGAAAGGGAATAAACAAGATTTGAATATAACCCTTGTTGTTTTGTTTTTAATGCAAAAATTTAAAAAGACAACAAAAATCTGACAAAATGTTAATAGTTCCCAATACAGGGGTTTTTGAACATATGACCATTTTTACTTTTCTACAGATTTAACTTTCAAATTAAATTAATAAAAACAACCACATGCATGTGCACGCAGAGTGCGCGCGCGCGCACACATACACACACACACACACACACACACACACACACACACAAATCCTTCCCTCAACCCCATATCCCTCTCCAGCTCCTGAATCTCTTTTCCAATTCAATCTCACTTCTTAACATTGTTTATAGTGGCTTTCTCTAACTCCTGAACTTTCATTCACTTGTCAACTCATTCCACCCACCCATTCTATCTACACAGACTGCTCTCCCTAAGGTCACCAATGATCTCTATGTTGTTAAAATGCATACAATATCTTTCCTGGTCTCTCAGCACAAGAAATTGAAACTGTGACATAGTTGACCACTCTTTCCTTCCCAAAACACTCCTCCTGCCTGCCGGGAAACCATACTATCCTGTTTTTTTCCATCCTGGTTTTTTCCATCTTTCTTCATTAGCCATCTTTCTCAGGATCTACTAATCCATCCTCTGTCTTTTCTCCTTAAGTGATGTTATTCACTCTCATGGCTGCAATTAAAATCAACAAAATGATGACTTCCAAACTTATAGTTTCAATCCAGACCTACAGTTTGAACTAAGAATCAGCATTTCCAGTGTCCTACTTAATACCCTCAAAGGCACTCCAATTCAACATGTTCAAACTCAAAATTTTGCCCCCATTCAAATGCAGCCATTCAAAATAATAATGTAGATTTTTTTTTTTTTAGTATAAATATGTTCACCAAAGTGAAAAACAGAAGATTAGGCTGGGCATGGTGGCTCATGCCAGTAGTCCCAGCCGCTTAGGAGGTGGAGGCAGGAGGATCACGAGTTCAAAGCCAACCTCAGCAATTTAGCAAGGCGCTAAGCAACTCAGTGAGACCCAGTCTCTAATAAAATACAAAATAAGGACAGGGATGTGGCTCAGTGGTCAAGTGCCCCTGAGTTCCATCCCTGGTAGCCCTCCCCCCCCAAAAAAAAGAAGGTTATAATAATGTTTCCATTATTATAACACACACACAGAATAAGGAAAAATATACAATATGTTGTGACAGAAAAAGAGCAAGCAACCTGCTAAGATATATGCCAATTGTGGTTCATTGGTAGATCGCTCGCCTAGCACATATGAGGCACTGGGTTCAATTCTCAGCACCACACAATAATAAGTAAATTAAATAAAGTTATTGTGTCCATCTACAACTAAAAAAGTATTTTTTAAAAAAAGATATATGACAAAATGTTACATAATAATCTTCTTTTCTAGTTTCTTCCTGAGTGTGTAGGGGTGCAGATATGTTCTCCATATTCACAAAAAGAAATGCTTTTTACTTTCTTTTTTTTTTTTTTCATTAATGGCGATTGAACCCAGGTGTGCTTTACCACCGAATGTTATCCCCAGCCCTTTCTACATTTTGAGACAAGGTCTTGCTGAGTTGCTGATTCTGGCTTCAAACTTATGACCCTCCTGCCCCAGCCTCTTGAACAGCTGGAACTACAGTGCCCCCACACCTGGCTGCTTTTTATTTTTATTTTTTTAATATTTTTTAAAATTTTTTAGTTTTCGGCGGACATAACATCTTTGTTTGTATGTGGTGCTGAGGATCGAACCCGGGCCGCTACCTCTTGAGCCACATCCCCAGCCCTGCTTTTTAATTTTATAATCATATATTCTCAGTTTTTAAAAATTCTCCTGATAGGATGCAATATAAAATTCAGAGTATCAGCTATGATGTTTTCTTTCTAAAACTGTTGGAACTGAAGCTTTTAGATCTAACTTCCAGTTTGTAGGAAGGGGGCAGAAGAACATGTTATGCCATGCTATGAGAAAATAAATAGACAAATCAGAAGAAAGGATATTCTTTAAGATAAATAGTCAAGTCTCATCAAAAACATCACTGTTGGAGTTGGCATGGTGGTACATGCCAATAATTCCAGTGACTCTGCAGGCTGAGGCAAGAGAATGGCAAATTCAAGGCCAACCTGGAAAACTCAGCAATACCCTGTTCAAAATAAAAGTTAAAAGGACTGGGGATGTAGCCCAGTGGGACTGCCCATGGGTTCAATCCCCAGAACTGTTTAAAAAAAAAAAAAACACTGCTGGACTGGGTGTGTACCTTAGTGATAACCAGAACACCTGTCCATCGGGTGTAAGACCCAAAATTCAATCCTCAGTATTAAAAAAAAAAAAACACTATTATCAGAGAAGAAAAGTGGCAGAACTGTTTTAGATTAACAGTGACAAATGGCAAAATGCAAAGTGTGAAATTTCAATCACTTTTGGTTAAAAACAACACCCAGAAAAGAAATTTGAAGGACAAATGAGAAAATGGATAGAATGCTAGATGATATTATGGCATTATTATTAACTTTTTTTGAGAGAGATAATAGCATTATGTTTCTTCAACAGAACACAGAGAATATCCTATGCATGCTGAAACATTTAGGGATGAAATATCATATCTGATAAGGAAGGTTAACATGACAAAATATTGATAGCTAAATCTAAGTGGTGGGTATTGAAGTGCTCAMTGTATTATTCTTGAGAGAAAAAATATTTCTTTTTTTTCCAATTTTTTTAGATGTTGATGGACCTTTATTGTATTCATTTATTTATATGTGGCACTGAGAATCCAACCAATGCCTCACACATGCTAGGCAAGCATTCTACCACTGAGCCACAACCCCAGCCCTAAGATTATTTCTTACAAGACTGTAAGCTTCTAAATGGCAAGAAATAACTATATCCTTGCTTTTTGTTATTGTTTTTGTTTTATTTTTTTTTTAGGGGTACTGAGGATCAAATCCAGGGACTTTCACACACAAGGTAAGTATACTCCAAGTGAGTATACTACCATGCTACACATCCCCCCAGACCATATCTTCTTCTTCCTTTTTTTTTTTTTTTTTTTTTTTGTGTGTGTGTGTGTGTGTATGTGTGTATGGTTCTGGAGGTATTGAACCTATGGGTGCTCYACCACTGAGATACACCTCCAGTTCCATTTTTTAAAAAAAWTTTTTTTTAAACAAGTTCTTACTAAGTTGCTGAGGCTGGCCTTAAACTTGTGATTCTTCTGCCTCAGCTTGCAGAGTCACAGAAGTACAGGGATGCACCACCATGCCCAACCCCAGCCCATATCTTCTTAATTWTGTATCCCTACCACCTAACAAACACCTTGGTACAATATATGTTTACTGAGAGAATGAATAAATAAAACCCATATTTTGAGATACTGGGCTTTGGGTCCAGTAGCAGTAGTGGTTCCTCACACATTTTTACTATCCTTTAAAATAATTAACATGGGCTGGGGTTGTGGCTCAGCAGTAGAGCACTCGCCTCACACATGTGAGACCCTGGGTTCGATCCTCAGCATCATATAAAAAAATAAATAAACAAAATAAAGATATTGTGCCCATGAATAACTAAAAAAAATAAAATAATTAACATATGTAAAGCCTCTTACACTGTCTTGCCTAGCAGGCACTGAGTCAGTCAGTTCCCTTCCTCACTTACACATACCTTTATCTCTAATACTATTCAGTCATATGACAGATAGCATTAGACTCTAACAATTGCTTTGAAATTTGCCACATGCTACACAGTAAAAATGGAAAGTAATTGGGTTGACACAGAGAATGAAATTAGCTGAGCTGGGAGCTGGGAATATGGCTGTGATAGAGTGCTTGCCTGGTATGCATGAGACCCTGAGTTCAATCAACAGCATGGCAAAAAAAAAAAAAAGAAAGAAAGAAAGAAAAAGAAAAGAAATTAGTTGAATTGGGCTGGAGATGTAGTTTAAAATGGTAGAGCACTTGCCTAGCATGAGGTCCTGCCCTGGRTTTGATCTCTAGCACCATAAGAAAGACAAAAAAAGAAGTTAGTTGAATCAATCACATTAAATGTGACATTAGTTCTAGATAAAATATTTTAAGAAAAACCTTAGCTGGTAGATTGTGGGCCTCAAAGATAGGTCTGAAACAGTAACATTATTAACAGTAACAACAGAAGCTAACTCTTTTTGAACACTTAAAAAAGTTAGCTGCTATTATTATTATGCATTTTATTTCATTGAATCTTCAAATAGTTCACTGCAGATTTTTCTAGATTTATATCCATTTTTTTTTAAATGTGGAAACAAGCTATAGAGAAGTAGCCAAAGATCACAGAATTAGTATGTGGTACAGGTGGAATACAAACTTACTATAGCACACTCACTCTTAACCACTACTTCAGGTTTTCCTTCATGGTTCATTCTATGCAAGGGGTGGGACTTGGTCTCTGCTACTATTCTCAAATATGTGGTAGGCATCCTTCTAGGCAAAATTGTTATAGAATGCTAGAATAGAAGGTCACTTAAAGTAGGCAGATCATACAAGGAAATAACCACTTACCTGCAGAATAAGTGGGATTCTCTCCCAAAGCTCTGAATCTAAAGAGAAGGAGAAAGTATGTTTAATCCAATTAGGTATCCACATTTATTTGTAAAGTTACCAAAACTTCTATGCTCCTCAGGATATGCCAATGCTAGATATTTCTTTATTCCCTCCTTCTACAAACATTATTACACTTCTATCATTATATGCCAAAGTGGCAGCTCCTAAGGATGCAAATATAAGTAAGATATCTCTGTGTACGGGGAATGATGTATGGACATAAATGCGAATATAGTACTGATCCAGAACAGAAACATGGACAAGATTCAGTACAAGGACTAGAGAGATGTGGCTCACTGGTAGAGTTCTTGCCTAGTATGCACAAGACTCTGGACTCAATCCCTAGCACTGAAAAAAAAAAAAAGATTCAATAGGACACACAAAGCAAAGTATGGTCACTTCTACCAGGGAGGCAGAACTATTTGAATTGAGTTTTTAAAAATGAGAAACTATGAGTGGAGTGGCACAGGCCTGTAATCCCAGTGAGTCTAAGGCAGGAAGATCCCAAGTTCAAGGGGCAGCCACAGCAATTTAGCAAGTCTCTATTTCAAAAAAAATTAAAGGGCTGGGGATGTAGCTCAGTGGTTAAGCACCCCTGGGTTCAATCCCCACTACCAAAAAGCCAAAATAAAACAAAAATAAGGAACTATGGGCTGGAGGAATAGTAAATCACTTGCCTACCATGCGCAAGGCCCTAGATTTAATCCCCAGCACAGAAATAATTAAGTAAATAAAAAGGAACTGTTGTCACCGGGCGCAGTGACGCATGCCTATAATCCCAGCAGCTGGGGAGGCTGAGGCAGGAAGATTGCAAGTTSAAAGCCAGCCTCAGCAAAAGGTGAGGCGCTAGCAACTCAGCGAAAACCTGTCTCTAAATAAAATATAAAATAGGGCTGGGGATGTGGCTCAGTGGTTGAGTACACCTGAGTTCAATCTCTGGTACCCACCCACCCCCCCAAAAAAGAACTGTTGTCAGTTATTTAGCATTGCAAGAAAAGCATTCTAGACAAAAATATGAAAGGGTATGTTTGGGGAACAGCAAGCAGCAGGACATGAATGGAATTTAAGCAGTAGGGAAGGAGGCAGGGTGAAAAGATAAAATTGGAGAGGTATTCAGAGGCCAGGTTATGAAGAACTCCATATGCTATGCTAAGGAGTTTGGTCTTTACTCTCTATAGGCAATGGGATGCTCTTGCAGATTTTAAGCACAGGAATGATATCGAGCTTGAATTTGGAATAGGAAACAGATGAGTGATAGAATAGGAAGAAGTAAGACTGAGTCAAAGAGAACAAGTGAGGTGGTTCTTGCCATAGCCCATTATTAGAACAGGCTGAGGGAGGGTGTGGTTGCATACACCTGTGATCCCAACTACTTGAGAGGCTGAGGCTAGAGGACAGCAAGCCTGAGAGCAGCTCAGGCAATTCAGCAATTTAGGGAAACCCTGTCTCAAAGTAAAAAAGGGTGAGGATGTAGTACAGTGGTAATCCCCAGTACTGCAAAAAAAAAAAAAAAAGTAATGACAGCTGAAGCCAGACTATAGGAAAGAAAATAATTTGGCTGTGATTGGCTGACTAGGTAACTGGAGTATTTTAGTTCCACCACCTCCTAGGAGTTTTTTTTTGTTTTTGTTTTTGTTTTTTGCTTGTTTGTCCATCTTGAACTCAGGGTCTTGTGCATGCAAGGCAAGCACTCCACCAACTGAGCTATATCCCCAGCATCCCTCCTAGGAGTTTTAAAACTAAATTATGGTATAAATTGAAGAAAAGCAAATCTGTGACTGAATGCTGACTCAACCATTCCCAAACTGAGACCTTAGGCAAGTTGTTTAATATCACTGTAACTCAATTATCTTTTCTTCACAATATAAATAATAATAGTACAACCTCATGGGACTGAAAATTTATCTTAAGCTCTGAGTCAGTTTCCTCTATTGTGAAATGACAATATTTATATCTGTCCTGTTAGTGTTTTTGAGAAAGTTAGATGTAACATGTAAAGTGACCAGCATGGCCTTAGTAAGCGCTTATCAAATAGTAGCTGAATGACTAATGATGAAAAAACAGATTGAAACAGAAAAAAGAAAAAGGATTCAATAAAATGTGAGGACTCCTAAAATCATCAAATCTTGTGAATGTCCAGAAAGATAAGCAATTCATTGTTTTACATCCTGTGCCTACTACTCATAAGACACTTGATAATTATCTGCTGAATAAACTACCAAATGCAGTTCATGAGCATCTGGAGAAAAACAATGGGGAGGATGTACAACAATTTGGGTTTGAACCCTAATTCTGATTCATATTAGCTATGTCATCTTAGAGAAAGAGATTGACTTCTCTGGACCTCAATTATTTATGTAAAAAATTCAGATACTATCACCCCTTTTACCAGGTAAACATTTAACAAATATTTGTTAAATGTTCACTACCAGACTTCATTCCAGGTCTTAAGAATTAGGCAATAACAAAACTAATGAAGACTTTATCCCAATGATGTTTATATTCAGGGGAAGGGTACTGAGAGTTTTTAAAAACTTATATGTGTAGAATACATTAAGGAGTAATATCTGCCATTAAGAAAAATAAAGCAAGGTAAAGGGATAGAGACTGATAGAGGTATTTTACATACAGTGTAACAGAAGACTTCTCTGATGAGATGATGCTCAGGCACAAATCTAAATAAAGTCAGAGGGTGAGTCATATGGATATCAAAAGAAAGAATCTGCAAAAATCTGGGGTGGGAAAGTGCTTAGATCATCCAGGAAYAGGAAGGCACCAGTGTGGCAAAGCTGAATAACCAGCATAAAATGAGGGAGCAGATTACATAAGGCCTTATGGGCAATGGTAAGGATTGTAGATTTTATTTTGAGTAAGAGGAGATACCACTGGAGAATTTTGAGCTGAAGAGTGGTAATGTAAGCTAACTTGGTTTTGAAAGAATCACTCTGATTTTAGTGTGAAGGAGAGAAGTTAAAAGTAAACACAGGGAGATCAGTTAGAAAGAAGAGTGATGGTAGCAAAAGTGATGTGAAGATAAAGAGCTGCTCCCCAATGGTTTAGCAAAACAGAAAGCATTAGGCTAAAAACTGGAGGTCAGAAATGGCTTGATTTAGCTGGGCACCATGCCATATGCCTGTAAACCTAGGAATCTGAAGACAGGAAAATTACAAGTCTGAAGCCAGCCTCAGCAATTCAGAAAAAAAAAAAAAATTTTTTTATAAGGGTTGGGGATATGTAGAGAGCCCCTGGGTTCAACACCACAAAAAAAAAAAAAAAAAAAAAAAAAAAAAAAAAAAAAAAAAGTCTTCAACAGGTTTTGTTGAAGAATTGGGTATAAAATAAGAGAAATAACAGTGACAAGGATTACAATCAGATGACTGGAACTGCTTTTAACTGAAAATGGGGAAGAAGTAAGATGGTAGGGGATTAAAGATGCTTAGTAGTCATAGAAGCAGACATGAAGAAAGAAAAATGCTATGTGAACTATGAATGCTACTGTTAGCTATATTTGTTACTAATATCCTTACCTCAAGTGGGAAAAGCCTTGCTTAAAAATGGTATTGTTCCGCAGGCACAGCACCTACAGCAAAACAGCCATGTTAGGACAATCAACCTTGCACAGGACTTCAAGTACCTCTTTGCAAAGAGGCTGGAAACCCCCAGTACACAAACCAAAACATAGTATCCAAAGTTTCTTACCTAGCAAAGAAGATAGCCTACAGTTAATGCCAAACATGCAAGCAACCAAAGTAATCATCTTTCCTAAATGCTGAAAAACAAAAGTCCTCTCCCCTTTGCTTTCTCATCCTGTTTCCACTCTACAATTTGATCCATGTTTTTCTAATATCAACCAACACATATTATGCATCTACCATAATAAAGAGGGGCTTTTAAAAATCTTTAATTCTCAAACACTACAAGACAATTTTATAAATGAGGCAATTGAGGTCCAGAAAGATTATATTCCAAAAAAATTATGGTTGATAAAGAGGCTAAGAGGACTCTCATTCCAAAGGCTATGCCTCTATTACAGCACATTGTCTCTTTCAAAAATAATTATAATAATAACAATACTGAGAGGTGACAGTAGTAACAGCTTTCCTCCTTTATTTAAATCTCACTCTGGAGCCTGGAGAAATGGCTCAGTGGTAGAAAGCTTGCCTAGTATGCACAAAGGCCCTGACTTCCATCCCCATCATATACACATACACACACACACACACAAAAAAAAAAAAAAAAAAAAAAAAAAAAAAAAAAACTCATCCTGCCCAGCTAGCACTCATTTGGAAGATCAGAAGTATCCTTTTTTGATACTGGGGAATTGAACCTGAGACACTCTACCATTGAGCTATCTCCCCAGCCCTTCCCCACCATTTTTTTTGTTTGTTTGTTTTGTTTTATTTTTTTAAAATTTTTTTTTTTATGCCAGTGATTCAACTTAAGGTTGCTTAACCACTAAGCCACATCCCCAGCCCTTTTTATTTTACATTTTGAGACAGAGTCTCATTAGATTATTTAGAGCCTCGCTAAATTGAAGTTGGCTTCAAACCTGCAATCCTCCTGCTCTCCAGTTACTGGGATTAGAGACATGAGCCATCATGCCCAGCCCCTAGCCCTTTTTGTTTTTCACTTTGAGACAGAGTCTCATTAAGTTGCTGAGGGCCTAAATTGCTAAGACTGGCCTCAAACTTGTGATCCTCCTGTTTCAACCTCGTGAGCTATTTGGATTACAAGCATGTCCCACCACACCTGGATCAGTAGTATCTTTACTAAAGCAATATTTAACATATAGGAGGTCTCTTTGTGAACTAGATAACAAATACTAAATGTTTATCCTTMAGGTCCCATAGAATAAAGAGAAAATTCTGCCCACTAGGAGAAATAATTCATTCAACATGTATGTGTGAAAAGCTCATTATGCAAAAATGAAAAATCTGAGAAATTTTTCTAGTCAAGTGGAACCTAAGGAAACATGATGACTACATATAATATTCTAGATGGGATCCTGAACCAGAAAAAGATAATTTTCAACTTAGGAAATCTGAATAAAGCACAGACTTTAGTTAACAATAATATATCAATATTGGTTCATTAATTCAGAGTAAATACTTTTGAAATAAATGTAAACAATCATTAACAATAATATATCAATATTGGTTCATTAATCATTAAAAATGTATCCTACTAATGTAAAATATTAATAATAGAGGATACGAGTTATATATGAACTTTACCATTGTTGCAGCTCTTCTGTAATTAAAAACTATTCTAAAATAAAGTTTGTTTTTAAAACTGTGCTAAGTTTTTCTTTCTTTCTTTCTTTTTTTTTTTTTTAGTTGTAGATGGACACAATACCTTTATTTTATTTGTTTATTTTTATGTGGTGCTGAGGATCGAACCAGTACCTCACATGTGCCAGGCAAGTGCTCTGCCACTGAGCTACAACCCCAACCCTACTGTGCTCAATTTTAAAGAGAATATAAAAACAAAATGTTAACAACATGAATGAACTTCTCATTCTTTAAATGAGAAGTGGGGCATAGTGGCACATGTCTGAAATCCCAGAGGGTAGAGAGACTGAGACAGGAAAAGTGCATGTTTGAGGCCAGCCTCAGCAACTTAGTGAGGCCCTCAGGAATTTAGTGAGACTCTGTCTCAAAATAAAAAATAAAAAGGGCTGGGGGGGCTGGGGATGTGGCTCAAGCGGTAGCGCGCTCGCCTGGCGTGCGTGAGGCCCGGGTTCGATCCTCAGCACCACATACCAACAAAGATGTTGTGTCCGCCGATAAAATTAAAAATAAATAAATAAATAAATATTAAAATTCTCTCTCTCTCCTCTCTCTCCCTCTCTCACTCTCTCTTTAAAAAAAAAAAAAAAAAAAAAAAAGGGCTGGGGATGTAGCTCAGTAGTAAAGCATCCCTAGGTTCAATCTCCAGTACCAAAAAGAAGAAAAAAACTAAACGAAAAGAGCCAGTCACAAAGGACCAAATATTGTATAATTGCATTTCTATGAAACATCAGATGAGGCAAATTTATAAAGAAAAGTTGTATATAAACAATTGTCTATGGCTAGAGAGTATGGGAGCTGGGATGACAACTAAAGGGTAAAGGGTTTCTTTTTGGAAGAATGAAAGGATACCCTTGTTTTAAAGAGTGAAGCAATACCACCTATTTTACATGCAGTCAAAATAGGTGACATGCCCAGTTATCCCACTCCTCAGTTTAAAACCAAAGGACTTAAAAATCATACTATAGTGACATGGCCACATCAATGTTTATAACAGCTCAACTCACAATACCTAAACTATGGAACCAATCTAGATGCCCTTTAACAAATGAATGGATAAAGAAAATGTGATATATATATATATATATATATATATATATATATATATATATATATATATATATAYATACATACAATAGAATATTACTCAGCTTTAAAGAAGAATGAAATTATGGCATATGCAGGTAAATGGATGGAGTTGGAGAATATCATTCTAAGTGAAATAAGCCAATCCCAAAAAAACAAAGACCAAATGTTTTCTCTGATAAGTGAATGCTGGTCCATAATGGTGGGGAGGTAGGAAAGAATGAAGGAACTTTGGTTGGGAAAGGGGAGTGAAGGGAGGGGAGTGGGTGTGGGGTRGGAAGGACAGTGGAATGAGATGGACATTATTACCCTATATATATGTGTGTACGTGTGTGTGACTACACCATGTACAGCTGAAGGAATGAGAAGTTGTGCTCCATTTGTGTACAATGTGTCAAAATGCATTCTACTGTCATCTATAACTAATTAGAACAAATTTTTAAAATTAAGAGGAAAAAAATTGATGTCATGAACAATGAGCACAYGTGGCATAATATCCAGGTGGAGATAGCAGAAGTTCTTAGTTTTTGCAGTGTTATAGAAATAGCTAAGGATCCGCTCAAAATCATGAACCTTCTTCCTAGACAAATGCCTATAGCATGGTTATATAAAAAGTTCCCATATTACTTCAAGAAATTCACTCAAACTCTTARCTTCACCCAAGGATCTCTATGCTACACTAAGAGACACCCACAGGCAAGGGTCACCTCTCAGGCAATGGTGCACACTCAATCAAAGTTTGTTTTCGTAAAGAGATAATTAGAAAGTAGTAAATGAATAATAATCATTGCTACTATTTACTAAGCACCAATATCTATTTTGTTCCTAATTTAACTCTATCTATGAATCATAATAAACTTAAAAGAAATATTACTGTCTCCATTTTCTAGTGGAGGAAAGTGAGATTAAGTAATTTACTCAAGTAATTTCCTATCAAACCTATGTAGGATTATCAGTTTCTCTGACTCCAAAGTCCATAATTTCTCCTCTATTTTATACCATCTCTCAAACAAATGAAGGGGTGATACTTAGGAAATCATAAGGGCAAAAGATCAAACTTAAGAAAAGTCTCTCAGTGAACGTGAGGCCATTAGAATTGGGAAGGACATGAACAGATAGAATGAAAGGCAAAAAGCACAGATGATCCAAAAAAGCACAATTAAATGACAGACCAAAGACTTTTCAAGTGTGTGTGCAATATTTTTACCTCCTATTAAAAAGCATAACCCCTGGAGAGCCCCTGGAGAGTGCAGGTGGCTGCCCCATTACAGGCCACACTTCAAAGTGACAACAGATAACTCAAAAGTCCCTTCAGGTCCAAGACCATGACAAACAGAATAGAAATCAGAGTGAACTGAATATATATTTTAAATGGGTCATTTTATACTGAAGAGGCACTGTATAGAAAGAGCCAGATGAGTCTGCTTTCTCCTCATTTTAACTGTTCAGATTTCTGAGTCTCTAGCTAAGGATATAATTATCTAAAATAAAAGCTAGACTTAAACAGTTGACAACTTTCTGGAAGACATTCAAATTGTGGTGTGAACTCTTCAGCTCTGGAAAATGTGCTTCCTTCCCTCTGCTATGCTTGGCATTATTTATTAGGACAAAAGTAATCTATTTTGAGACTGAATCCACAAATACTCCCTCCCCACAATCAGCAGATGAAGAGCAGCTCTGGCTCAGCAAGTGGAAGAAGAGGTTTTGTGATGCCAGTGAATGAATGAACGAGGACACAGCTGCCACAGTGGGTTACAAAAATAGTTGTACCATGAGCTCTGCAGCCAGGAACCAAGAAAGGACTGCACAGCTACCAAAAAACCAAAGTCACAGGACAAAATCTATAGCATGTGGGTATCTTCAAACACTAGAGCCTACAGGGTGTCATGAATACAGTGGTTCAGGGGTCCTCTGGGCCAGCAAATGAGAGATGTTTTATGAGTATTAACAGAATATATTTGTGGGTTTTTTTTTAATATTTATTTCTTAGTTTTCGGCGGACACAACATCTTTGTTTGTATGTGGTGCTGAGGATCGAACCCGGGCCACACGCACGCCAGGCGAGTGCGCTACCACTTGAGCCACATCCCCAGCCCTATGCCAACCTTCTGATTGATGCAACTAACAACTGCTTCTATTAAGGAGAAAAAAAATAAAGGTAAGTTGCCCAAAGTCATAGGGTTGGTAAGAGGTGCCAGGACTTTAA